CATTTAACATATTCAGTAACAATTTCCAGAGCAAAGATATATCTCTTTCAAAAGTGGCTGTATTTTTAGGTTCACATTTGAATTTATACAGTAGAACTCAGTAGAAACCCTGTAAGGCATACAATTGAATGAGGTTTTACTCTTTAAAGATCTACATTTCATTTTAAAATATGCTCTTTCGTATATGTTTAATGCTACTAACAGATGTTTACACACACGTCTCTAATCTCTATGTATCTGATTATTACTAGTCACAGTCTGTTACGCTCGGATCCTTGGCACCCGAGTATGGATATAAAGTTATCAGGTAGATTTCACTGGTAATGTTTATCACCTCTGCTAATTAACATGAAGTAAATTTTTATGCTTTTTCCTCAAATATAACTCATTTTTTATTTGTTGATTATTTTGTGTATTTCATACAGAACATCCCAAATAATCTTATTCATCTATGAGCCCACATCCCAAATGGCACCCTCCCATAGTCTCCCCACCCCCACTGGAGCCCATATACTCTGTAATCCCTGTTACTTTTCATTACAACAGCATTGACATATTCAATAACAATTTCCAGAGCTAAAATGCATTCAAAATTGGCTTTAAATTTTTAGGTTTATAGTTTAATTAATACAGTTATACAATATTGTGCTCTGTATAAACCCTATGAGATATAAAATTAAATGAGGTTTTAAACTTTAAAAAATATCTCCATTTCATTATTAAAATACACAGTTTCATACAGAAAAATTCATTTTTAATGGAATTGAAATTAAGATTTTTTGCACCTGCGTTTCTAATATCTATATATCTGATTATTACTAGTCACAGTCGGTTACTTTCTGAGCTCCTTAGCATCTGAGCATGGATATAAAGTCATCAGGTAGATTTCAATGGTAATGTTTTTCACATCTACTAGTTATTAAGGAGCAAATTTTTATGCTTTGAAGAATTTTTTTTTATAAACCCACTTCCCAGGTAGCACCCTCCCATAGCCTCCTTCCCCCACTAGAGCCCTTATACTCTGATATCCCTGCTACTGTCTGCCGTGTTGTCGGGACCCCCAGCCATTCCCCACTACTTGTCCTTCTGGTGAACCTAGTCAGCCTATCTGGAGGTCTTTGTTTTAGGAGGATCAGCTGCTCCTCATCTAGCAGCAATCAGTTGTCAATATTCCTTAGATAAGATTGGGGTCTGCTGTTCATTTTCCCAGTTCTATGCTAAGTTACTGTCTGGGAGTCTTTTGGGCCACGATGACCAACAGCTCAAAGGACGGTATCTCCTGTCTGGCATTGTTTCTTGTTATGTAGTCTTTAGCTATACACATGGACTCTTAAAAAGTTATATTGATCCCATTAATCTTTGGTTATACTCTCCTTTTGGGTGTT